CCTTACAGAATTTCCGACCTCCCCCCCTTCTCAAGATGCTTGCCTCATTATGCATTGTCATTTCCACTCTGGTCTTGAAATTCCTAGTTTAATTCGCCTTGATGTTCTGCCTTATAACTGCACAGTGGTTTGTACTGTCGAATAAAAACACCGTGTATACTTCGCATGTGTTGTGCATTCCTGGGCTTCATCTTCACTCACACAGTGGCTTCACATCCCAGTGGCCCGGGCCCTACACTTTCAGATGCCTGCCTTGGTCTTTTCAAAGCAAACCAGCCACACACAGATGTTTACTTCTCCCACCACACAAAAGAGCAAAGGAGAGGGAGCGACACGTCCTCTAGCTAGCCAGGGCACTGATAATCTTGTGCTCCGTGTCCCATCCTGTGGCTTTAGATTTCTGTTACTTTCATTATTTGTTGAAATGCCTTGCCCCAATCCACCGCCAACAGCACACACAGCAGAGTCACTACATGCTTCATTAGCCAGACCAGACGGAGCCCAAATCGAGTTCTCTCAGACACAGCCCCACCCACACCCATCTCTATCTTTAGCCTCAAACAGCAGACCTCCCGGAAGGCTGGCAGGTGTGACGGTCACTACTTTGTAATTCCTGTCCACTGTAAACTGTTTTTACTCTTTCTACACACTTTTCAGACTGCCTTTCTTTTGTAATTTCTGGAAGGTTTATAAATGAATGACAAAGTTTCCCCCATTGTGTCTTCAGAAACTCTATTGTAAATTGTAATATAACTGTATGTGGTAGATGGATTAAAAGGCCGTTCGTTCCTCGGTTGTGTGCAGTGCTGTGTGGATGTGTGCATGTGGACGGTTAGGGTGACATATTTTCTAGAAATAAACTTTGTTATTTTGTACAGTGCTGTGCATTCTGCATCTTTATTTTAAATACTCTTCTCCTGGCAGGGAAACAGAATTCCTTTCTGCTCTGTGTCCATAAAGAACTCCATGGGCTTGGATTTGCTGGGACTAACTAAAAATATGACCTTGAAACATGTTCTAGGAGTCGTTTACATGGCATTCCTGGTGGCAATCTTCAGGGAAAACACAGCAGTAGCTAGTCTACATGTTACTAGAGACAGGCATACAGAGACCACAGGAATCTGTTGAACTGGGGATTCAAGCCAAACCTCTTAGCAGCAGCCCCCCCCCCGCCCCCGCTCCCAACTTTTCTAGGAATGTGAATAAAGAACCGCTCTGCTTCAACACAGTGAAATGCAGCCTGACTTACCACATGGCTCTGCAGAGATTTCCCTCATAGGCTCGGTCTGTTGGCCTCATTTTTCCTGGGATGAGGTGAGATGGAAGGGCATGGTAGAGAAAGGATGCTCTCCTCGGTGTGGGCAGAAAAGCGCAGGGAACCAGGGGACAGATCCTTCCCACAAAGCCATGTTCCCACAGGCCTACTTTCCTCAGCCAGGCCCTGGCTCCTAAGAGCCTGTTCAGCTATGACCAAACTCATCAATAGATTAACCGACTGATGAAACTGTCACCCTCTCCATGCAGCCACTTCCCAAGAGCCCCTCAGATGGCAGCCAAGCCCCGAGCACATGCGACAGTTTTAGGTTCCCTCCTCAACAAGAATTGTTCAGAGGAGGAGAAAACCAGGCTGTTTATGGCAAGATGAAAACAGTTCAAATCCAGCACTTCGAATCTGACCGCACATTATGCAATTACAGCCAGCGCTGCGGTGCCATTCTTTACCTACTGCATTTAAACAAAATTCTCAAAATGGGGGAAAACAGCCAAGATCACTAGGATAAGGTTCTCTGTGCTGGTGACTTTTCTCGCTGCTCTTGGGTTTCTTCTGGCCACAACCCGGGGGCACATCCACTGTGCGGCCCTGGTCACACTGCACTACACCCAGTGGGGCTGCAGACAGACAATGCTGTCCCTCATCCTCAGCCCACGGGACGGTTCTGCGCGGCTCAGGGTGGCTCTCTCCTAACATCATCCCCAACAGGTCCACAAGTGTTTCCATGGAGAGTCTGAATCCCTTCAGGTGCATAAGGAGGAGGAACCAAACTTGATCAAACTTACATCCCCCCCCCACCAATAAACAAGAGACAAATCAAAGGTGATAATGAGCTACATTTAACTTTGTCTCACAACCTCTTGCTTGAAAGTAAATCTGAGTTTCTCATGGTAAAGGCTCCTCCCTGCCTAGAAGGTAGGAGCTTCCACCACAACCTCACTAGGCTCCTCTGGGGAGATGCCATAGACAGAAATGCCTTTTAAATGACTTTAAGCTTCATCAAAAATGATCAATAATGAGTTCATAAAATACAGACAGCAGGCACAATCCCACACCACTGGCTGAAGGAACACAGACTGTATTATAGGTCCTTCTAGCTCAGAGTCTGCTCCTGCATGGCCAAGCTGCTGACTCGACATAATCTGGACCTGACATGTGCGCATGCCCTGTAAATAAATTGTTTCCAGGACTCCAACTTAGGAAAGAAGAGTGATCAGGGATGGATAAGATACTTCCCATGACGTGGCCAGAGTGCTCACTTTCCCAAGCATGGTCCTGTCCTGAGGGGCAGCGCCCACTGGAGGGTCACAATCCATGCCAGCTCAGGGACATCATCTGTGCCTTTCCTCCTCCCCCTTTCCTGATGGCTCAGCCCACTTACCATAGCTGATGTCTAGTTCCAGCCTGCTTACTCACCAACACACCACAGTCCTGTCCCCCAGACCACCTGGGAATATGCAGCTCAGTCAAGGGTGACCCAGCCCTCCCTTGCTCAGAGGCTGCCTCCTGCATCCATAAGGGCTCAGTAGCCAAAATGCTGCAGTTCATTTTTCCACCTTTCAAAGCAGGGCTGCTGCCTAGACACAAAGGGATGATGTTATCTTCCTACCAGTGTTTCCGGGCCCCCTCAATTCCCCACTGCCAAGTTCTTTGTGGAGGTGAAATCCCCTGGGTGTCTACTGTCACCCCTGCCTGTGTTCTGTGTCCCCATGGTTAGGGATGCAAAGCCTTATATCCTGGGACTTGAGAGCCCCTCCTTTTCAGAAAGCATGCTCTGCCGATAACTTTCCAACCCGAGGATGAACTGAGAGGCCCAGACAAGCAGGCAGCAGCTGCCCTCTGGGGAAGACAGGAGTCCAGTGCCTCTTGCTTGTCTGGGATTCTCTAATGAGCTCTGAATGTACCTGATCCTGGAAGCAGGCCACAATAATTTGTTCCTTGTGGTAGGGAGAGGACCAAAAAGGCCAGAGTCCCTGGGTACCCCTCCTTTGTGCTCAGGTCTGGGCCTCCCAGGAAGTCCTCCCACGGTTGCTGAATTTATATCAGATTTGGGTAACAGGTTCTATCTGCCTCAAGGGCCTGGCAGTCTCTGGTGACTCTGTTCCCTTAGCAAAAAGGTACCAACCTTGGCCACAGATGTAGCAGCCACTCTGCCTCTGGTCAGAGCTCTGTGTCTGTTTCTATCAATATCTGTCTTCATCATACCCATGACTTCCGGGTACAGCATGAAGTGAAGGGAGCGGATGGGCTGTCTGAAGAAATGACCACAAGGAGCACTAGGCTAGAGGAGAGGGGCTGGACCCCTGGAGAAATTTCCCCTCTGTACCCATCCCTGCAGGGCTAGCAGGAAAAGGAAGGGTGTGTTGGGGTCCTCTGTATATACCAGGTGAGAAGAATCTAGTTGTCCCACAGAAGACAGAGCAGACCAAGCCAGGGCACGGTGCTGTCTGTGACAAGAGCCTTACAGAGCCTTAGCTTGTGAAAGTTGAAAAGGAAAGCATGGGAGATGGGAGAGAGTAGTGAGATAATTAAGGCCCACTCCCTAGGAGCAAGTCCTCGCCTGGTATTATAGGTTAGCTACTCCCTCTTCCCTAAACAGGCATAATTCTTAACTGCATTATTCTAAATCCTACCCTTGTAACTATAGATGTGTAGCTTTCACCTCTCAAAGTTTTGAAAGTCGCAACTGGTCAAAATGCAGAGAACAAATGACCATGGGGTACCCGACCCCCGGTTGATAACATCACAACACAACCCCTCACCTGAGCTCAGGGAACATCAAGGAAGAGGGAACAGAAAGACTTCAAGAGCTGAAGGAGCAGGACATCTGCCGTGAGATGTCCTCTGTATATGACAGGGAAGCTGTCGCCTAATGAGACCTGCACAATGACACCTTTGGCCTCTGGGGGATGGGACTGAGCCTAGTCTGTCAGGGTTGGTAAGATCTACCCTCTAACCCTGACAGCTGCGCTAACAGAAGGGCAGGATCTTCTGCTAACTTGAAGAACCACTCTGGTTGAGGCCCCTGGAGCAGGGCCCTACCGCTGCAAGGCAGGGTAGTCCTGTCTGGGCGACCATGCTACCCTGGGTGTTGGGGTCCTCAGGGAAACTTCCAGGTTGGTTCTCCCACCCTACTGAAGGGGTATTCCTCTTGGGGTGAGGCTGACTATCTTGCACCTTGTATAATGAGTCCACCCACACCAAAGGCAAAAAGCAAGACAGGCCAGACCCCATATACCAGGCCAGTCAGCAGCTGCCCCATTTTCTCTGGACAAACCAGCTGGGCCTATCCATGTCCTGAATTCCTAGTATAACCCAGAGCCCAGGTACTGTGTCATGGTCTCTGCCAAGGGACAACAGCAGGTAACACTGAGTAGGGGCGTCAGAGAGGGAAGAGAGACAGGCCTCTTTGAGAGCCACCTGAGTACTTTCAGCTGTGGGTATGACGTTTCTAGAAATGACAACGAGAGGTATGTTGTAGCTCTGAGGACCCTGTAGCCTTCCTTCTGTCCTCGGAGAATAGAGCTGCGCTGGCCTGTCAGGCACCCAGCTCTGAGATTAGGCACTTCTCAGGGCCTGATAGTGTCTCCCTCTGATGCCAGGAAAAGGATAGGTTAAAGGCCACGTGCCATGAGCCCAGATGGTGGCCCAGGAGCTGGCTTTAAGAACCACAAGGAATCAAAATGCAGAGAAACCCTTGGCACATGGCAGTACAGTGAGACGGAACTTTATTGAGCTGCGCCAGGGACACACACATCACCGATGAGTACAACTCATCCCCCGTAGCCACACTGCAAGCTGCTCTCATAACATACAGAACTCCAAGCCTCCTCTTTGCAAGAATCAAATGGATGTGGGACCTATACTGCCCCACAAGTCGCAGCCCTCCAGACCCTAGGGCAGAGGCAGTGCTCACTCCCAAAAGTTCCTACAGACACTGGCACCCATGGACTCTACTGCTCTATTTTCTATTTTTTTTAAAGACAAGGTCTCACTATGTAGCCTAGGCTAACTGTGAATTTGGGGTTATCCCAGCTTCATCTCCCGAATGCTGAAATCACAGGCATATGCCACCACACCAGACACATTTACTTTAAGGGGCGAAATTTTATCCCTGAGTGGTCTCAAGTAGTTTAAAAACAGAAATAAAATACAGGCTTTCAAAAACTAAAAACTACCCTGTTAAGTAAAGCGATGGTCACTAATTTTACTTGATAAGAAAATTGCAAAACAAATAACAGCATCCACTTCTTTACGGCCAGCCCCATCAGTCTGAAAACACTTCCATGAAGAAAAGGTGAGATCTTTTCAACAATTCTTTTCATTCTGTATGGCCTAACTCTTAAAAGAAATACCGAAAGGCACCCTTGCCTCATGTCTTTCCCCCCTTTTAAACACAAACATGCATGAAACAAAGTTAGAGCAGTGTACAGTAAGAGGTTCTCCTGGGAGCACCTCTGAGAACCTGCTGACATGGCTGCTTTAGGAAAGTCTATCTGTGGTACCAAGGGCCTTGCTACAGCTCTGCCAAGCAAGCTGTCACAACACACTATGAGAAACAAAGCAAACATCAAACCTATAACCTAAATCTATAGCCGCTACATACCAACCCTAAAAACCAAACTGTGGCTCCCTGACCCCCACCCCAAACCCCCTCTAGAACAACAGTCATGTGAAAAGTAGAAAGGGAAGGATTGGCAGAGTTCTGGAAGGAAGCCAGCACACAGGCCCTCGCTGTTGGTCAGAGGTAGTAGAGGCGGTTGGACAGGGACAGGTTCGGTTCTCTGTGGATGCTCTGGCCCACAAGGAAGGCCAGCTTATGTGCATACTGGCAGGGTGCAGGAACTCGGATGACTCCCTGTGGGGGAAAAGAGGGCCAGTCACTGAGTTGAGCTGGGTGGGACTCCCAGGGTCCTTACCACAGTAGGCTGAACAGGACAGGTGGCCCTGAATGGGGGCCTGAACAGTAACGCACTCACAGGCCAATTGTAGTACACATGGCAGAGCTTGTAGGTCAGTCGCTGGATGTGGTCAGGCTTCAGGCCACTGCTGTCATAGATGACATTGTAGTGTGTTGGGGACACACTCCCACTCCTCACTGCCTGGCTCACGATGAAAAAGTCATACCTGGAAAGGCAGGAAGAGCCAGGCAAGGCAAGGACACGTGCTTTTATATAAGGAAAAACCTCGTCTTCTAAACAACCTCATTTTTTCTCCAGCCCCAGTGTGACTGTGGTGCCCAGGACAGGGCAAACTCTTCATGAGCCACTGTGGCAGCACGCACAGAAGACAAGACTCTTTCCATACGTGTCACCATGCTGTGTGTGTGTGTGGAGGGCTTGTACACATGGGCGCGCAGCAGTGGCGCCAGAGTAGGGCGGAGCCAGTTCCTCCTACTGCTTCCATTATTAGTAACAGCAATGCAACAACTTTAATCACCAAGGACTCAGAACAAACGTGCAAGAGCCAGAGGTAGAGCAACTGTACACAGTTAGTAGAGGACCCAAGCTAAGGCCAAGCTAAAGAGCACACTAGAAAACTTAGCATCCATCCGAGTTCTGTTCCCTGGCAGAGTGTCAGTCAGGAGGCTCCTGTGATCTGACCATATCAGCAAAGGAAACTGACTCTGTGATCCTGATGTTACCTAATTAGACAACCTGGAAATCAGAAGTGGTCTACACTGGAGTCTATTTGGGATAGAATGAGTCCAAGATGTTCAATGATGTGCCTGCCAGGAAGAGACAAGCTCTGACCAAGAGAGGGAGAGCTCTGTGTGTAGCATCCAGACTGCCACCTTCAAAGGTTCTCCTGCCATCAGCTCCAAGGGCCTGAGTGGCTCTCACAGGACTTAAACGGCATCTGGTGAGAACACATGCCTTCTACTCTAAACTCATGTGGGTGTTGTCCCTGAGCTCATGGGCTACCAACCCTCTTCTTGTCTAGTGCCCTGAACACTCAGTGATAGTCCCAGGTTCTGTGAAGGGTGAGAGGGGCCTCAGATTGGCCCTTCCTAGGTACCGGCCTTATCTGTTTGCCCCACTTTGCTCCTGGAGTGACAGCAACTCTCTTCCAGAGCCAATCCCATAGGCAGTGTCGGAGCAAAAGAAAAATCCAAAATAGTATATTTCAAAATAAAACCCCCACTCAATCACATAGCTGAAAAGAAGCACCAAACATTTTGTAGCCATTTCCGTCTCTGAGATGCAGGGTCCACAAATGATTCAGAGTTCAGATTTTGGAGCATGTGCTTAACCCGGGAGAGTTAAGTACCCAATTTAGGTTTTAAGATCCACGATGCTTTGCTGTTAGCAGCAGCTCACCCACCCGAGTCAGGGAACATGGGGGCATCATGGAGGCTTCCTGCTCTCGCCTGCAATGCCAGGAGCCCTCCAGAGCCTCACTCTCTAGAACAAAGGATGTCAGACTAGGTGGTAAGTTTCTGCCCCCCAGGGACAACCATCACAACCTCAGAAGAGAGCTAGTGAGGAGGTCACCAGAGATGTACATCTGTCTACCTATATGGTTAAACCTGCATGCTGTGACCGGCCTAGCTTCCTCTTTCTTACTTTGGAACTTTGAAGTCAACTGTAGGCTACAGATCTGCTGACAATAGGCCCTCTCATCACCTTGAGCCCTGGAGGACTGTGTGAAACATCACAGAGCTAAAGATCTGGTAGAAACAACCTATAGATGGGTTATATATGTCAAAATATAGATGCTGCCCGCAGAAGCTGTTCCTAGAGTCTGAAGTGCCACACACAACTAAAACTATCATGGAGCTGCCAGAGGGTGTTGCTTCCGGGGTCTGAGCATTGAGAAACCTGGGCTTTAGGAAATACGTCAAGATCAGCTTAGCTGAAGAATTGGGACATTTAAGAAACAGTGTCATTCAGGAACTGGAAAACAAGCTAACATTGATAGACATGAGGCCCCAGAACTCACCACTCTGGCCTAGTGACCTCCACATCGATGACTGTCCCCGGTAGAGGGTTCTGGAGTCTTCCCCCAGACTGAGCAAAAAACCTGGCATTGACACGTTTCTTCACCACAATCACAGTCAGTCTTGGGCTGAGGACAAAGAAGAATATGGCCATGCTGAGCTGGTGGCCTGTCTAGGTAAGAAGTCACATGTTCATGTATCCTTCAGGAAAGAGCCCCCATGCCCTTGACACATCATCTCATTGCATGCTGGAGGAGGGTAGGCCCCTTCCTCGGGGACAGACCGAAGTCCACGAGTGACCTGGAGGTGGGCAACAATATGTCTTTTGGGGTCCCATGACAGGCTACTCAGGCGTGGGCATAGACCAAATCTACCACGCCTATCAAATCACAACACTGCCTTCGGCAGGCTTCCAAAGTATTTGGTGTCAGGGCTACAATGGGCATTTTCTACTCTGAGACCTGTCTGGAAGAGCTGGTTCAAAGGCATGTACACCTTAACCACCAGCTCCCTCTACACTGCTCACACTAAGGGAATCATCAGATGCACAGCCAGAACATGCAGCCTCTAGATGGTTCTTCTCCCTGAGGGCAAGGAATAGTCTTCCAGGAGACTCACCGCCTCACCCTCCCACCTCTTGAGATGCTCCTCTTAAATTCCTGGGGACAGTCATTTGTTCATACACAATCCACATGGAAGTCAGTGAATCGGACCTCAGAATGAGGCTGCCATCTAACATGACTGGCAGTCCTGATTCAGAGGATATCAGTTCCTCTCAAGCTCAGACATGGCTGACCCCATTCTCAGGGAGAGTGGGGCTCTAAGAACATATTACTCAGTAAACTGGTTGTTCTCCAGTGATCATCAGCTCCTAAGGCCTTGAGCATGAAGCCCACACTGGGGGCTTCTCTTTCACAATGTGGTAGCAATGAGAAGCAGGGCCCTGCCAGAAATGTCACCGGCTGCCTCTAAAGCTTTGCTGTTGCAAGACCTGCCAGTTGCTTGCAGCTCTGGGTGCAACACAGAACAAAGCTGGGTCCTGGGTCCATGTGCTTGCCTAGACTGGGCTTAGATCAGGAAGCTCAGGATGGTGTGCTGGCAGGGACTGCTGAGGAAGAGCCACAGAAAAGTGCCCTACCCTGAGCAGCGCTGACCTATAACTTATCCAGACCCAGTTTCAGGGAACAGGAAGCTCAGGCTGCCTGCTCAGCCCTGCCTCCATCTCTTATCCCTACTTTCAGCCCAATTCCTAGCAAGCCCATGCACCCTCTCCTTGCCATTGAGTAACACTTATTTCAGAGTGGGCAGCCATATCCAATCCCAAGGACTCACTTGTAACCTCTCCCAACTGACTTGAGACAGTCCAGGAACTGAGGGACCTCATAATTGACCAGGGTCTTCAGTTGTCCATCCCCTACACCATCTCGGTACACAATGACACGGCTAGGCATATATTCATTGCAGCCACTCCAAGCCCTCAGAGCAGCTGCAAAAAGTGGGGGAGGTTTTGAGTTCACAGACACAATACCTGTTTCTCCCAGTTCCCAGCCACTTTTGGGAACAACCCAAGGGCCCCAGCAGATTACAAGGGTACACAGACCCACCTTGCAAGCACACCTTGAGCCCATCCACCAATTCCTGGCCACGGTCCTGAAAGACGCAGCGGGAGAACCAGCTGTTCAGAAAAAAAGCAGGGTGGTGAGGGCATGGGTCTGCCAGGCTCAGCTGCTCTGGCCTTCCTACGAATCTTCTGAGGAAGATTCTTGCTACCCTTCCCATATCCCCAGGAGGCCTCAACTAAGCAGAACAAGAGACCAAAGTCACCCATGGCAGTTTCCCAAATTCTAATCTAACTCGGCAGGGGACAACTGAGAGCAGATCACCTGAGAGCACCCACCCACTACAACAAGTGCTGTCCGCCCTGTTCCTGACAGAGCATGTTTTCCGCGCTTCCCTTCTGCTCCCCAAGACCAAGGCCACAGCCACTAACATCTACACGTAACAAGTGGTCAGGATCCAGGCTCTGCGGCTATGGCTATTCCCTCATTCCACAACCACTGAAAACTAATATTGAAAAAGCAGAGGACTGGGTGAACTGGGCTATTACACTGAAAGCATGAGACACATTTCAGGGGCCAAGAACAGCTGTCAAACCAAGGCACTTTCAGAGTTGGCCATTTAATGTGCCCTAAGGCACACAGTAGAGAGCAGAATGGGGATGTTCTGAGTGTGGCAGGACAGGGACAATGAAGGCCAGTCCCATGCTTCATGATACCACTGCTGCTCCCTGGCTTACCGGGTCATCCCTTCGTTGATGCTGGCAACGAATCCTGCGATGGACCTCCTCCCAGCTGTGGTGTCATGGTAACAGTCGATACCCACGATCATTGCCAGCTTCAGCTTTAGTGAAAACAGTGTCATTTAGCTGTTGCAGAGTTTTGGCAGCCGTGAGCAAGGCTGGCTCCTTTCCCCCAGATGTCCACATAACCAACCACCCCGTCTCCGATGGAAGCAGACTCACAGGCATGTCCACCCGCCAGAGTTCACCAATACCCTGTCTCCATGACAGCAGACTCACAGGCATGTCCACCCACCACCAGAGTTCACCACCACCCTGTCTCCATGAGAGCAGACTCACAGGCATGTCCACCCGCCAGAATTCACCACCACCCTGTCTCCATGAGAGCAGACTCACAGGCATATCCACCCGCCCGAGTTCACCAATACTCTGTCTCCATGACAGCAGACTCACAGGCATGTCAACCCACTAGCCGCCCGTCTCCATGACAGCAGACTCAGAGGTGTGTCCACCCCGGTAGCTGCCCCATCTCCATGATAGCAGACTCACAGGCATGTCTACCCGCCAGAGTTCACCACCCATCTTGCAGTTCATCTGCAGGGCAATCTTGGTGGCAATGGCCATGACTGTTTGCTGCTTGCCCAGGGTCCGGGCCACCACACACTGACTTGGGGTAGGGCAGTCTGTACACAGGTACTTTTTGATGGCATCATATTTGTCCTTCCGATTACTTGACAACAGACAGACAACCTGAAAACAAACCAAGCACCTCATTATAGAGAACTAGGGCATGGAAGGCCAAGAGCAAAGGACATTTGTCACTCTAGCCACGTGGCAGAGCTGACTGGTGGCGTATCAGTGGGACAGTAGTAACGTTTTAATGCTGGTTTACTCTGAGTGATAAGCACTCACACGAGAGGTGCTGCACATAACAAACCTGGGCTTTAAACAAAGTCATTGCAACCTGGGACCCGGGCATGGCACACTATCGCATGAGTGGTTCCGGGTAAACAGAAAGGCAAGCACAGCTCTGCCTCTGAGGTGGACAGACGTGCAGCTCACAGCTCCCCAAGAACCATGGCTTTTGCTTGGGAATCTGGTCAGAATGGAAACTTTCCCAGGAAGGAAGAATGACAATTCTGAGAACAAGAAGGAGTCTTTGATCAGGTTCCCCCAGCCCAAACTCTGAGGGTCCACATTTAAGTTCCTAAAACCAAATCTAGCTTGTGACTCAATTCCAGCACCCAATGTGTACCCAGACTCTTGTTTTTCAATTCTCTCTGGTCCCCAACAAATTAGGCTCCACCTGCTGTCTCCATCACTCTAGGTAAAATGGCAGCTATCCGCCTGTGACCTCTGAGAAGGAAATGAAGGAATAGTTCATGAAGCATAGCAGGCCACTATTCAGGTCTCTGCCACATGGGCAGCCTGCTCCTGCTCCTCGTGGTGGTGTGGCCTCTTGAGCTAGAGGGAACACACCAAGGGTACGGGTCACTCCTGTGCTCAGCAATGCTTCTGCATGAGCCAGAAAAAGCTTCCAGCTGGTTCTTCAAGGCTGCTTGGCTTGTTGAAGGCTTGGACTCTGGTGCATTAGTGTTCAGAGGTAGGCTTTGGGCACATGGTTGGACATCGAGGGCTCTGTTGCTGGTCTGCCTACTGAGCCATGCCTTGGTGGCAATGGGAAATGGTGGAAAACACAAGAGCTGAGGCTGGGTGAAAGAAGGTCGGGTCACCACTGAAGGATGTTCCCTTTCCTCTCTGTTCTGGGACCACCATAGGGTGAGCAGGTGTGAGTCTCCACATGCTCCCTGCTGGGATGCCCTGCTTCACCAGACACCATGGAGCCAAGTGATCCTAGCAGAAACATACATGAGCTGCAGTCAATCTTTCCTCACGAGAAGTCTGACTAGCTCATCTAGACACTCTCCCATCAGCAGCCGTGAGCCAGCATGGCACAGCTCCAGCCCTAGACTTCCCTTTACCACAGCCACAGAGGACCGTGTCCTGTTCACTGGAGGTCCATTATGTTTGTTCACTGCATGCAGCACACAGGCTCCCCTGAGCCACAAAGGTGATGGGGGCTGTGGAGCTTCACAACGCTGGCTTTGGCCCCCGCCATCACAGCTTTAAGCCTGAACAGTGAGTGGCGTCACAGAATCTGCTCCTCTGGGACTTTGCTCCGTTCTTGGAGGCCAATGACTTTACAGGCCAATGAGGTCTGCAGCAGTGGCCTCGGGGTTTGAGGCGGCAGAGATCAGCAAAATACATCAAAACGTGAGCCATGTTTATGGGAAAATTGGAGCGTTAACAGTTAACTGGCTAATTGCTAAATCCACGTATGCAGAAGCTCCTCCTCCACGGCTGAGGATGTGGGGGCTGGGGAGGTGGGTGGAATGAACTTCCCAGTGTGGTTCCCTTGCAGACAGTCTTCCACCTTTAGCCTGCTGTAGTTTCCTGCCACACAGAAGGCCAGGGCTTCCTGGACAGAGGGCAGTAGTGAGGTCACACTAGGCCAGTTGCCGCCTGAGCCCTGACTCCACACTGCTGCGATGCTTGGTGGCCCTCCCCCACTTGCTGGGGAAGGCCCAATTGAGTGGCAGCCCCATGAGCAGCAGCATAATCACAGACCAAGGAGGACCGGTCTTCAGCGTCCAAAGCCTTTCCAGGAAACACACAAACGTAGATGTGTGTCTGGTATGAGCAGGAGCACCAGGTGATGGGATCATGGGCCCAGCACAGTGATGCAACAGACAGCGTGACTGAATAAGTGGCCCAGGTGGCTATCTACACTTCCAAGACCCAGCTAAAAACTGTGACCAAGAGTGTGAGAATGGGGTGATGCTCTCTCCTCAGGCTCGTGTTCTCCCTAGACACACCTCACATCACTGCATGGACTCACACAACACACACGGGACCTACTGTCATCAGGCTACCTTATCACCATGCCTCTCCTGGGTGCTAAATCTCACACGATGGAAAGATGGCATTCACTAATGTCAAGGTATCCCAGCTTAGGAGAGTCTGGCTGCTGACCTCACCCTGTGACTTCCAGTGTCTAGAACCAGAGAATCAAGGCAGAATGTGGCTTTTTCTTCATGGCTTCTCATCTTGTGCAAGGCACACACCCACACAGGCACCAGCCTTACTGAGCTCAAAACCCCAGTCTTCTGTCCAAGGACCCCCCTGCCCGCCTCAGGCTGCAGCACTGTCTGCACCCAGCAGCTACTCACTATCTGAGTGTCTGATGTCACCTTCTGCTGCAAGGCTCTCAGGTAAGCTTCTGTTCTGTCGTCCACCTCAATCCTAGCAACAACAACATAAAGATGGGCGGTACACAACCCTCAGACCTTAACACAGTCAACATCCCTGCACCAATCCCAAATGGTACAAAAGCAGAGATACAGGAGCTCAACTCAGTGAAGGGCATGGCTAACAAGCTGTACCACCATCCTGGCTTAAGAACCTACCCCGAGACCCAGCGGTGGTGGC